AGAATACTTTAGAACGTTACTTAGAAAAACATGAATAAACAATAAGACACATATACCATATTCAAGGATAGGATTACTCAATTCCTATCCACAAAAGTCAAATTTGATGTCAAATTGTTCCCAAATTAATCTACAAATAATCAAAACCCCATTATAACTTTCATGGAACTTAAGCTGATTCTAAAATGTACACTACAGAGCGAGAGCCAAAGCTGTTCTGAGAAAAAAAATGAGTAGGAATCGAACCCACCAGATTAAACATACAATAAAGTAGTAATGTTTAACACTGTGAGTATGGAACATAGACAGAAAAATACATCAATGAAACAAAATAAAGACACTGAAAATATTCCCAAGCATAAATGGTACCTCAATATTATCAAAGATGTGTGCCAAATCGGAACATACTCTTCAATAAATAGTGCTGGGACAACTAGCCTGTCACATGGAAAACAAAATTACCTATCTCTTTCACACCATAGTCACAAATTAACTTAAAATTTTCTTAGAGAAAAAAAAATAGAAAGCCTTTATGACTTTGGAGTAGAAATGCATTTTTTTTAAGATGGAGTCTCTCTCTGTCGTCCAGGATGAAATGTAATGGCACAATCTTGGCTCCCCGAAACCTCTGCCTCCTGGGTTCAAGCAATTATCCTACCTCAGCATCCCGAGTAGCTGGGACTACAGGCACACGCCACCATGCCCAGCTAATTTTTGTATTTTAATAGAGACGGAATTTCACTATGTTGGCCAGCATGGTCTCAATCTCTTGACCTCATGATTCACCCCCTTCGGCCTCCCAAAGTGCTGGGATTACAGGTGTGAGCCACTGCACCCAGCCCAGAAATGCATTTTTTAAACAGAAACAAATTATAAAAGAAAAAGACTGAGAAGTGTTACTATATCAAAATTTTAAATTTCTGGATGATAAAAAATAATTTTTAAAAATATCACAGAATAAAAAAGTATCTACAAAAAATTCATATTTAACCTCTACAAAGAGTTCCTATAATTTACATTAAAAAGACAAAAAAATACAATAGAAAAATGGGCAAAGATATGAACAGGCAATGAAAGGTGCTCAACCTTACCATTACTCAGAAAAATGGAAAGTTTTTGAATGATCCATTGTTTTACATTCATTAGACTGACAGAAATGTAAGTAAAACAATACCAATTGTCAAGGCTATACGAAGCAGAAATTCTCCCCACTGCTGATGGGATATACATCAGCCTCCTGGAAGAGCAATGTGGCAATGCCTAATAAGGATGAAGAGGTGTACAGCCTGTGACAAAACAATTCCATTTCTCATGATTTCCTCCCAGGAAACTAGCACATATGCATAAGGAGATCGTTACTGCACCATTTTATTTAACAGAGAAATGTGGAAAACGCCCAAAAGGGAAAAAAAAACTGTTGTGGCAGGGCACAGTGGCTCACGCCTGTAATCCCAGCACTTTAGGAGGCCAAGGCAGGCGGATCACGAGATCATGAGTTCAAGACCAGACTGGCCAACATGGTGAAACCCTGTCTCTACTAAAAAATACAAAACTTAGCTGGGCATGGTGGCTTGTGCCTGTAATCCCAGCTACTTGGGAAGCTCAGGTAGGAGAACTGTTTAAACCAGGACCCGGGAGGTGGAGGTTGCACTGAGCCGAGATCACACCACTGCACTCCAGCTTGGGTTACAGAGTGAGACTCCACCTCAAAAAAGAAAAGAAAAAAAAAAAACTGTTGTATATTCACATTAGAATTCTGATGCAGATCTGTATCAGCACTGATAAATGATAAAAACATAATATTGAGGTTTTCTTTTTAAAGACCATGGAGAAAGTTAGTTACAGTATGATACCATTTTGGAAATGCCTGAACTCACAAACTAATGTATCCCTGTACATGTAATATACAGCTAAAAATGGAGTAGAAAGTCAACCACAAACCATCCACCAGAAGAAAGAAAGCAGGAAAAAAGAGGGGACTGATACTCAACCTGTAATATGTCATTTATTCATTTACTCTGATACAAAGGTGAAATATGCAATAATGCTGATGTGTTCATTCTTGGTGGTAAGTCCATTGGGGTGGGGGGTGTGTGTGTGTGTGTGTGTGTGTGCGCGCGCGCGCGCGTGTGTGTGTGTGTGTGTGTGTTTTAGAGACAGAGCCTCATTCTGTTGCTCAGCCTGGAGTGCAGTGCGCAATTTCGGCTCACTGCAATCTCTACCTCCCAGGTTCAAGTGATTCTCCTCCCTCAGCCTCCCGAGTAGCTGAAATTAAACACGCACCACCATGCCCAGTTAATTTTTGTATTTTTAGCAGAGATGGGGTTTTGCCCTTGTGGTCAGGGCTGGTCTCGAACTCCTGACCTCAGGTGATCCGCCCTCCTTGGCCTCCTAAAGTGTTGGGATTACATGTGTGAGGCCTGCCCGTTGTTAGGCTTGTTATACTTTCTATCTCCAGCCTAACTGTCTTCCCTGGGCGTTAAATCTCTTCACACCTGAACTCTTCCAACATTGAATGTCTAAAATGTGAGCCCTTTCTCTCAGCCCCTCCCTGCTCCTCTTCCAGCCTCTTTCTACTGCTGTGATCACCACACATTCTCCTCCTAAAGCTGTGGCAGGACCACGGATATCCTCCAACAACTTAAGAAAAAAAAGCAGGGAAAAACTTTCTTCAAACAACCAAGGAAATTCTGCACAGAAGCTCAAACAAACCAGACACATGCAGAGCTGCCCCTGGAGGCAGGGACAGAGCTTGGGACTTCTCTAGTAGAGTGGGCCAGGCCCCAGACAGACGCCTCAAAAACAGTCTGAAAATCCCTGGTACGCAAAATGAAAGTAGAATTCCTTAAGAGGACACTTGCAAGTCCTTCACCACCCAGCCCTTCTCCACAGGTCATCCCCACCTTCTGGCGCTTTCCCCACCTTCCCGCAGCACCCCTGCTTCTCCACACTCCCACAGTGCCTAGACTCCGTGCCCAGCAAAGCAAGAAAGTCTCGCTCTAGCACTCACCACACATCCACACACTTGCACGCAACAGTTCCACTCCCAGCACCAAGACACATAGCAGGCCAACTGTCCACGCTAACCCAGGCCCTCACTTCCACATCTCAGTATGCTCACTTCTGCCCCATCATCTTCTAACATTGACTCTATCTCTATCTCTTGCAACAAATTCAGCCCAACAATACAACTGTTCTTTCACTCCCACCTCTTTGACAACTGTATTATCCTCCTAGCTTCTGCAACTGCTAAGGTTCTGACAGCAGCAGTCTGAGAGCTCTCCTGCTTTTTGACAGTGAATGAAATCCTGCTAATAACTGTCTTCACTTCCCCTCTCTATTAATGATGACAGGTTAAATAGGGCAGCCAACTGCATGCTACCGACAGTTTTAAATGGCAACACATTAAAGCAAAAGGTGTAAGGTCAGCCTTTTATAGCTGTTGCACTTAACAAGGTTAAAATCTAATCTTCTGCTTTGAAAAGTCAGGAAGTTCAATTTATCAGCTCAGCATGGACTGATCGTATTCTGGGGCATTCACATTAATGAAATTCACAAAAGACTGATTCATCCTACAGAACGCCAATTGTTATGGACTGAACCATGTCCCCACAGAATTCACTATGCTGAAGCCCTAACCCTCAATGTGACTGCATTTGGAGACGAAGCTTTTAGGGAGGCGATTAGAGTAAATGAGGGATCCCCATCAATAAGAGTGGTGGCCTTATAGGACGAGAAAGAGACATCAGAGAGGTCCCCCTGCACTGACACAGAGATCAGACCATGCGAGGGCACAGAGAGAAGGCGGCCACACGGCAGGCCGAGGAGAGAGATCTCACCAGAAACCAACTCTGACAGCACCTTGATCTTGGACTTCCAACCTCCAGGACTATGATAACATTAATTTGTCCAGTCCTTAGTATTTTACTATGGTGGCCCAAGCACACTAAGAATCGCATTTATGAATTCAAAATGAGAACACAGACCAATCACGCCTGTCATCAAGGATAACCCATTCATGGCAGCAGAGCATTAAGATCTAGAAAATTACATTGATGGCCAATTAATCAGCAAGCAAGGAACTGGAATGACGTGACTTAAATGTTCTCAAAGAATCTGGAGTCCACTTCCTAGTGATGTGAATACCCACATTCACCTAATACAGCTTTAGCCCTTCCCTGAATAAATACTCATCAAGCATCTTCTCTCCAACTGTTTTTCCCTGTCCATGTTCTGCACTGTTCCCAAAGCCTGTTATTACAACATCATGGACTCCTAACAACTTACAATTTCTAAAATCACAACTTATCTTACAAGAACTACATGTAGGGAGCAGAGTTTCACTTACTCTTGATTAATACATCTTACTCTTTAGCAAATTGTTTCCAAATAATAACCTGAAATGTAGACAGTTCCAGAGACTCCTATCCTTTAAACAGCTGACTAACCTTGGGAAGACTCCTACAGGAAATAAAGAGAGAGCGGAATACCCCATGCCAAACTGCAAGGACACTTCCATGAAACTTATCATTCTCTACTGATTAAAACTGAAACAAAAACAGAACACTTCTAAACACAATGAAAACAGTTATCAGGTCTATCACTTCCACCCACCCACCCCCAAAAAAAAAAACTTTCAATAGAGTGAATAGTGTAATACAAGAGATATTCAGTCCATTAAGTTGCTAAGCTAACCGACTGTATGTACTTAAGACTACAAATTAACCTTAAAGACCAGATATACTTTTTTCTAGGCAGTTCAGGCATTTATAATTGAATAAACGGACCCTGCTGACCACCCAAGCTGAGATTCCAATGACAGTGACAAGGGGCTTTATCAGAATGGAATGAAAGGAATAGAAAATTGTGGGGTAACCAGAACAGTCTTCTAAACGAAGACAGTAAGTACATTAATACACCTTGAAAAACAGAATCAGAACACTTAGAACAATTCTGAGAAACACAAACCTTTATAAACCCAAGGATAGAGCTTTACTTACATGAAGGAATAATGAACTGGGGCTCAGTGTTGCCTGCGTAGCCAAGCTTGGTATACCTAAAAGCACAAAGTCATCAACACATGTTTAGATAATAATGCTCTCATCTATATTGAATTAATGTCTTTTATTATAAGCTCTCCAAGTCCTAAAATATCAAGCCTCAGAATACTCCTTGAAATTAAAAAAATAAAACTTGTGATCACTGAGAATCAAACACGAATTTCAAATAAGAAAGCAGTTTTACAAAAACTTAAAATAGTATGGTTGTTTCTACTAGAAAAGAAACACATATATACTAACATATAAATTACATTTTGTGTATCCCTAATAACTTTAAAAGTGCTTTTACTCTACCTTTACAAAAACTCTGTGAAGAAAGTAGAAATTATCCCTGTTTTGCAGATGAGAAAAGGGAGGCACTGAGAAGTTGATTAAACTGCCCACACTAATGAACTGCAGAAAAAGAACTCCAATCTCCATATGCAGGCTAATTCCAGCGCTGGCTCTCTAAGAAGTATACTTACTTCCTAGAACTTTTATACAAACTTCCTGAACTTTGGGGTGGGGGGGTGGTTAGAAAATGATTATGTAATTTTCTTAAAATGTCATGGCATATGTCTAAGAAACAGCTACTGCCATCTCCTGAGAAGCATCTGACAAGAGCATCTCTTTATCATCTCATTTCAGAAGGAGCCCATTTTCTGTCAAGACACTGCATGATAGATTCCAAAAGTCTTAACTAAAACAAATGCCAAAATACTACTATCTGTTCCAAAAGCATTTGCTAATCTCCTAAATATAAAAGGGGGGGGGTGGTGGGAAAAAAAAAACCACCACTCAGAACCATCTGCTGGAAATAAAGTTGAGAAGCGGTGAGTAAATTGAGAAGACTCATCAGCACGTCCCTTCTTATTAGGACTACTCTAATTAACAGTAAAACAGTAACGTCTGGACAACCAAGCCGTCATTCTGTAATACTTATGGTGAATAAAAATACTAGCAGTGTTGGCCAGGCGCAGTGGCTCATGCCTGTAATCCCGGCACTCTGGGAGGCCAAGGCAGGCGGATCACCAGGTCAGGAGATTGAGACCATCCTGGCTAACATGGTAAAACCCCGTCTCTGCTAAAAATACAAAAAATTAGCCGGGTGTGGTGGCATGTGCCTGTAGTCCCAGCTACTCAGGAGGCTGAGGAAGGAGAATCACTTGAATCTGGAGGCGGAGGTTGCCTTGAGCCAAGATCATCCCACTGCACTCCAGCCTGGGTGACAGAGGGAGACTCCGTCTCAAAAAAAAAAAAAAAAAACACTAGCAGTGTTGAAACTAACTTTATTAATTCACTGTATTTTAAAAATTATTTCAAGATGCTTGATATTAAATTTTTGATGTGGTAATATTGCTAAATTCTAAATTAATTTTGTGATTTTTAAATCTATTTTACCATACGCTAATTTCACTATGTTTGAACACATAGTGAATGGGTGAAATCTAAGGAGACAAAAAAAAAAAAAGTCAGCTCCCCTTAAACCATACATTACTGCTCAGCTTCCACAAGATCTGAGATCTTCATGCCACAGGAGCCAGGGCAATGCCAAGTCTTGGGACTCCTCAGGCCTGAGTCCTGAGCTTTTGGAGGCAAGACCCATGTGAAGCCCGCTCCAGTTCCACAACTAGAGAGCTGGAAACAGAGTACAAGGCCAAGTGGACCCACGACAACTCCACTCCAGGGTTCACAGACCTACAAGGGGGATTTCAGAGCCAACCCAGGATGAAGGCAACAAAGACTGGCCTTTAGAATACAGATCCTCCCTAATTTGAACATCATTCTGGAATTATATTCCAGAAAATAAATATAAATAAGTGAATTACTAACCCAAGGCTAAAGATACCTATGGAATCCAACAAGCAGATCTGAAATCATCAAATCTGTGTCTCCAACAAGTTACATCAGCTACTTCCCACAAAAAGTATGCACCTTATGCTTAAATAAATCCACCTTCCCACACCGTTAGACTATGAGTTCCACACGCTGCCCAGAACGGGGTCCTTTCTCATGGCTGTATCTACACCCCCGGCACAGTGCCTGGCACATGGCAAATACTCCAGAAATATCTGCTGAACGTATTCTTTCCAGTTGCAACAAAGGTACTCATTGTCAAACTGCTAGGGGAAGGACCGATATTTGAAAAAGGGATGCTGGAAGTCAGAATCTAATGTAACCAGAAAAAAATCACAGACATCATCTACTACAATTTCCTACTTAAAGAGGAGCAGTGGCCTAAGCGTAATGGGTTTTAGAAAAAAAAAATAAACTGAAACCAATATGGTAAAATGGTAACATTTATTAAAATTAGGTGCTAAGTATCATTCAGGCTGTTATATCATCTTCATATCTTGAGTATACTGTATTGGTTAAGACCATGCACTTTGGCACCATACTGAGTTCAAATCCCAGCCCCACCATTTGACAAATGTGTATCTTTGGGCAAGTTACTTTACCTATCTGTATGTCTGTTACGTAAAATGGGGATAATACAACCTATCTTTTATTTTAGGGTTAGTATAATAATTGAGTGAGTTAGTATATATAAAAATACTAGAATACTATCTATACAAGTATTCATTATTATTTTTACTATTATTTTTCTACATGTTTAAATGTTCCCTAATTTAAAATTTTGAAAAGTTAGTGTGGGCACAGTGGCTCACACCTTTAATTCCAGCACTTTGGGAGGCTGAGGCAGGAGGACTGCTTGAGCCCAGAAGTTTAAGACCAGCTTGGGCAACAAAGCAAGACCCCATATCTACAGAAAACTTTTAAAGTGGCTGGACTGGTGATGCATGTCTGTAGTCCCAGCTACTTAAGAGACTGAGGCAAGAGGACCCCATAAGCCCTGGAGTTCAAGGTTGCCTCAACCTCCTGGGCTCAACTATGACTGTGCTACTGCACTCTA